AGTTATGCTCGATTTTTTGCCGATTTTTGACACACCACGCCAAAAAGGTTGCCCATCACTGGTCTAAGTTCTACTGCTATTGCTATTATCAGCAGTGGAAGAAAGATAGCAAGGGCAGCTGGGGGAAGCAAAGCTGAAGGTGGTGGCAGATGCAGGATGGCCAATAGAGGAGAAATGGGGGTGGGGGTGGGTAGAATAGGTGGGTAGGCGGGAATTGAAGTGCTCCTGCGGTTGTTGAATGTAGGCAAGTGCCTAAATTTTGCTTAGGGGCACTCAACAGTTGTAACTTCTGAGGTATCAGGTATAACTAACATTTTGTTCATAATTTCAAATGGTCGCTGAATGAATGGCCATTAACCAAGAACTACTTGTAGAATCTTGCAACTGTGAATGTGCCTCCCTTCTCTCTATCCTTATCCTGAAGAGAAATAGGGAAGGTAAACTATGGATCATTTTTCAAAATCCCATTCCTGCCTTGGACTCAAGATTCCTCTTATCTGACCACTGCCTCGGCGGTGGTTCTTTCTCCAGTTGTTCGTCCAGGTTATTCTCAGAGCCTATTACATAGCCTCTCCCTGCTTAATTGAACAGGATGGGTCAATTCAGATAGGAGAAGGTGCTCCAGGAATAATTTAGGTTGCAGGCCATTGGTGGCTTTAAAGGGTAAAACCAGCATTCTGAACTGCATCCAGAAACTTGGTGGTCAGCCCTTGCCAGTAAGGCAGAGCTGTGTGGTTTCACCATTTTCTTTTTTGATATAATGTTAATAAGAATTTTGATTATAATAGTAAACACAATACAAACTAAACTTAGAGAAAAAGAAGGGAGAAAAAAAGAAGAAAAGGTATAGGAAAGGGGAAAAAAAACCCATAAAGTGGTGACTTCCAACCTTTATCACAACAAATATCAACAAGTTTAGTAACTTTTCACTCCTTCTAAGGTTACAAACTAATTATCTCTTTATTCCATTTCATATCTATAATTAAATCCATAAAACATAAACTTTTCAGTCCTGGGATCAGCAAAATATCCAGAAGGAATTGCCAGAACGGCAAAAAAAATCTTACTTTTATGTTTTTATGTATTTATACCCCACCTTTATTATTTTTACAAATAACTTGAGGCAGCAAACATATCCAATACACCTTTCTCCTCCTACTTTTTCAACAAAGAACCCTGTGCGATTATTTTGGGCTGAGAGAGTGTGACTGGCCCAGTCACCCAGCAGGCTTTCATAACTAGGGAAGAATTTGAACTCATACTCTTGTTTTCTAGCCTGGTGCCTTAACCACTGGACCAGGCACGTCCAACCTGTGACCCATGAGCTTCATGTGGCCCTGGAGAGCTAATAATTCATCCCCAGAAGATCATAAATTTTTAACATTATGTAATTTGCATACAGTACATTCACTTTATTATGCATTTTATATTTGTCCCAAGACAATTCCTCTTTACTCAATGTGACTGAAACAAGCCAAAAGGTTGAACACCCTTGCACAAGATCAAACTGGCTCTTGATCAAATAAGGCAACTTTATATTTCTTCCTTTTACTTCTAATAGTCTGAATCTCTAATTCAATCAAGTGCTGTTATAGGATTTAATTTCTCTTTGATTTTTCTTTATCCCATTGCACATCATTTCTTTTAAGGGTTTAACAGGCTTCTTTTGTAGATCTAGTGAGAAAATATTTCCCAAGTCACTCTCTATTTATATTTTCCTTTTAAGTTTTCAAACATCAGGGAGTTTCTTTTGTATATCAAAAAAAGGGTCCTTTTTTTCAGATTGTTCTCTTGGCTTGTCATTTGTAGCTCCACTTCTGATACTTTCTCTGTCTTGTTAGATAACATTTGCTATAAATCTGTCATTTACACATTGACATCTTCTGGACATAATCTATCCACAGAATCAAACATCATTACTGGCATTGTTGATATTCTAGCCACTAACTTCTGGCTTCATTCTTTAAAGATCTCCTTTAATGTTTCCGATGTTGTTTTTTGTCATTTTGTAAACCCCAGTATTAACTGACATCAATAACAGGCTTATATTTTTTTCCTTCTGCTCAAAATCTCTAATCCCCCTTTAAACTGATGTTCAGCTTCTAAAATCCCAAAGTAACTTACTTTTGTTATGTCTTTCAATAACCAGAATAGCCAAAATAATTCTGTTTCCCACAAGAAACTATTTTTATAGTAAATTCTAAAATCTTAGCAATATTCCAAATTTATTTGAATCCGGCCCACGGGTCTGGCCTGGAAATACCAAAGGACTGGCCCACTGTGTCTCTGCTGGCTGAAAACAATCCGTTTTCAGCCAGCAGAGTGCTATAGGAGGCCATGGAGGGCTAAAACGAGGCACGGGGAGCTGCATGCAAGCCCCTATGCCCCATTTTGGCTGGTAAAGTGTTGCAAGAGGCCGTTCAGGCTGAAAACAGGGCAAAGGGGGTTGCGCGCTGCCTTCCCGTGCCCCATTTAGGCCAGCAGGGTGCTGCAGGAGGCGTTCATCCTGTCTCCTCCCGCCAGCCCGTGGAGGAGAACAACAATGCTGATCTGGCCCTCAAAGAAATCCAGTCTGATACACCTGTTCTATTCTGTTCCTGTCCTATCCTTATCCAAAGTGGTTCTGAGGTTCCTATTTTTTGGTCTTTTATTTAAAAATAAAATAAAATAATTAAATATATAACTCCTAGATTTCACTGTCTTTGCTGCAGTTGTCAGTTCCATTTTCATTATACTTCCACCTGGAACTTGTTGCCTTCATAATTTTCAATTTGGTACAGATATTTATGTTTTCTCCTTTCTTTATCGTAGAAGTCCCAAGGCTACCCCCTCCCCTTTACTTGGAAAACCATCTTTCTGGCCTACATCTTTTTATCCCACTTTGCCATTCTTATCAAAATATTTCTCAAGATACTAAAAAGTAATGGAGACAAGTCTTTCTTGAGCATAAGAAAAGTATCAGTGAACTGAAAAAGTGGAGAGGACAGTAGAAAGTAATCTACTGATCCAGGCTTACCTGGAATTCTTCTTGATTTCTAAGCAGCCGACAGCGTTCCTTTAGCAGATCCTCCAGTGCTAATTCTGGTTCCTGACACTCTCGCACACCTTGGGGGAAATCTGTTACCAGACTGGAAAGTTCAAGGTGGCATACCAGTCAACAAGAGGGGAAGAAATAAGCAAAGTTTAGAGATGGGCAAATTGGAAGTTAATAATTTCTAAAAAGGAAGGAAGGAAGGAAGGAAGGAAGGAAGGAAGGAAGGAAGGAAGGAAGGAAGGAAGGAAGGAAGGAAGGAAGGAAGGAAGGAATTTGGGTCTCCTTTATTCATTCAGTAAAAGATAACAAAAGGGGGGAAAAATAAAAGAAACAGAAGAAAAACAGAGAAAGGAATACAACATATTGTATCATGGCATATATTGATCATATGCGGTATGTATTGATCATATACGTGACCCGATAAATGCGCGCCGACAAAACCGCGGCGCTAAAACCGCGACATCATCAACGCGCCGACAACAGTGCGCTGACAGAAGCGCAATTTAAGTTAAGGTAAGGGTTAGGGTCAGGGTTAGGTTTAGAGCACGCTTCTGTTGGCACACTTCAGTGTTCATTCGTCGGCGCGATTTAGAAGTTGCGGTTTTGTCACTGCGGTTTTGTCAGGTGCACTTTTGTCGCTCGCCCTTTTGTCGGTGAATCAATCATATATAGTACAGACATGGATAACCGCCATACTTTTTGTTAGTTGAGAGATAGCCAAATGTTTTTGGTTTTATTTAGCCATTTATTTATTTATGGCTTCATATGACCTGTCAATTTGCAAACATGTGAATCTGGGCAGTGTACAATGATAAAAACAAAACTTGAAATAAATAAGTCAGGGCGCATCAACATATATTCCACTTTCCGGGATGAGCTTCTCTAACATTTTGTCTTTGATGGCTAAGGGAATAGCCACTTCTTCAAAGTCTTCTTAAAAGTTTATCAGGATCAGGGCCAGTCAAATCTCGGGGTGGCTCAAAAGGCTTGTAAGCTAGCAGGGCTGGGCCAGCTGAATCTTGGGTTTTAGATTAAAATGAAATCTGGAGCCCAAGAAAACACCAAGGACACAGCTATATAGTCATATTTTATGCTGCATTTAGCAAATCCTTCGTAAAATGTAACATGATGAAAAATCCCTGTGAGCTAATCTTGGATAAAAAAAACCTAATATCCATGTAATATATTAACAAACACAATCATGACCTCAAAGAATGGAGAAAGAATTGCTTCCACTCATTGCTCCCCCCAGCCATTCAACAATCTTAGTCCCCTCCCTACTCAAATGATAAGCAATATTTTATAATTACAAAGTTGCATGTTTTTGTATGTATGTATGTATGTATGTATGTAGCCATTTCAGGCGAACCGGTTGTTAAATTGCTGGCTGGCCCCACCCCTTCCTGCCCTGCCCCTTCCAGGAATCCCCACAGAGGTCTACTAGGCCAAAATGGGATGGGGAGGGGCACCCCACGTGACCTGTTTTTGCTCTTACAGATGTACAGGAGGCCGAGTACTGCCTGTCACACCCCCTGGCCACGGCCACCATGACCACACCTACCCAGCAGGCTGTTAGGGCAGAGAACCGGTTGTTAAATTATTTGAATCCCACCACTGTTGTATGTATTGCATTTGTAAGCCATTCAGTATCCATTGGCATATGTAGCTATAATAAATTTAAATAACGAGCCAATTGCATCTAGTGGTGAACGCACTAGGTTATAAAACACAACACTGTGAATTCAAGTCCCCATTAGCCATGAAAGCTAGCTAAGTGACTTTGAATCAATCACTCTTTCTCAACACAATCCACCTCACAGGGTTGTTGTTGGGAAAATAGGAGGAAGAAAGTATATTGAAAACATTAGCTGCCTTATTTGTAAAAATAACAAAAGTGGAACATAAAATAAATAAATAAATACTTTTTCATTCAATTTCGATATCCTCCTTGTCTCAGTCAATGACCGGACGACTTACAATAATATGTGTGTTTGTGTGTGTATATACAGTGTGTTTGTGTATACACACACACACACACAAATACATACCATTTACCGGTAAGTACTAAAAAACATTTTAAAACAATAGTTTCATTCTCAGGAGTCCATCCACTTGAGTTTCATTATTTAGAGCAGTGTTTTTCAAACTTGGTAACTTTAAGAAGTGCGGACCTCAATTTCCAGAATTTACACACACACGGCAATCTGGCTGTGGAATTCTTGGAATTGAAGTCCCCACATCTTAAAAGTTCCCAACATTGAAAACAATGTTTAGAGCAATATCCAGAGTTTAGCAAATCCCAGTGGTTCCCACTGACGGCAAGCACCGTAATAACTGGTGAAGAGACCAGAGTCTTCTGCAGCTCTTATAATGTTATCCTTGCTCTTTTTGGGGGGATCTTCCTCTTCGCTGCGCTATCTATTTGACACAGATAGTCCTTCGCCTGTTCTGCGAAGGGACATTTTCCCCACATCCAAATCCCACTTCTAATTCTTTGACTTTCACTCCTGTTGATACCTGCATAGGGCTCCCAGGACGTGCTCATGGAAGGTACTGTGTTCAGATCGGACCAGAGCCACCAGTTGCTGAACCATGCCCATGGAACAGAGAGTCTCTGCAGGGAGAAAAAAGCAGAAGATGTTAACTCCTCAAATGAAAGTAAAAGTTCCTTTATAGCAAGGGTCAGCAAACTCTGACAAGAGGCCAAATCCCAATATAGGTAGTCCTCAACATATAACCATCTGTTTAGTAACTGCTCAAAATTACAACTGCCCTGAAAAAAAGTGATTTCTGGCCATCTTTCACACAACTGTTGATCATGGTTGATCACGTGATTTTGATCACAGGTTCAAAATTCAGGCATTTGTAGCAAGACTGGATAAAATGTATAACAATGTATCCCCAAATTGCTGGAAATGTAATCAGGTACCAGGCACCTATTACCATATGCGGTGGACATGCTAAAAAGTGAAAGAATTTTGCTGAGGTATCCAGATGTGGTTGGAAGAAAAGACTGGACAAAGGTTAGCATTGAAACCAGAGTTACTTATGTTTGGAGTATAAGACGCACCTTTTTCCCTGAAAAAAAGAGGGTGAAAATCTGGGTGCGTCTTATACACTGAATACAGCATTTTTAGCCTCCCGAAACCCCACCCCCTTCACAAAAATGGATGTGCAGAGGGTTTAGGAGCCTTGCAAAGTGCTCCTGAGGCCTGGGGAGGGCAAAAAAAAAAAAAAGCAAAAAGAGGGCCCATTTTTGTCCCCCCCCCCCAGTCTTCAGGAGGACTCTACTAGCCTCCCAAAGCCTTTGCATGCCCCCCTTTTTTTTTTTTGCAAAAAATGGGACTGTTTTTTGCTCATTTTTGCCCCCATCAGCACTCTAAGAGCCTCCCAAAGTTCTGCATCTCCCCCCCCCCTTTTTTTAAAAAAATAAAAATGAGGCGTGCAGAGAGTTTGGGAGGCTTGCAAAGTGCAAAGTTTTTTTTTTCTAATGTACCTCTTGAAAATCATGGTGTGTCTTATACTCCAGTGTGTTTTATAGTCCGAAAAATAAGATATTCTTATTAGGAATCATAACAGGGGATTATAGTAAAGAATCAATATATCTAATACTACATATTATAACAGCAGCAAGAATGGTATATGCCCAACAATGGAAAAACCAAAATATACCTTCAGAAAGGGGGATAATAAAGAAAATATTTGTATGTGCAGAAATGGATAAATTGACACTAGAAATAAAAAACAAAGGAGAATCCGAATACTATGATATATGGAATAGATTTTACCAATAGTTGGAAATGAGAGGTGGAAGTTGGAACAAGAATTAGGATTTGTGAATATGGAAAGTGATGTAATATATGTAAATACAAATGAGTATATTGAGAAGAATATATATATATATATATTTAGTAATGTAACATAAGAGGACAATAATACTTGTGTTTTATCTGTATAATTATACTTTAGTATATATGCAGAGATATATAATGTGTCTAATATTTTAACAATTTTTTTAAAAAAAAATCAGGCACTTGTCAACTGGGAGGTATGTACGACAGTTGCACTATCCCAGGTCATATGATCATCACTACCCCAGGTCATGTGATCCCAGCGGGCTTTAAAGCAAAGTCAGTGGTGCAAGCCAGTTTTGGCTAATGACCATAAGATTCACTCAACAACTGCAGTAATTTGCTTAAAAACTGTGGCAAAAAAAAGGTTGTAAAATGGGGTGCAACCGACTTAACAACTGTTTTCCTTAGCAATGAAAATTTTGGGCTCAACTGTGGTTGTCAAGGTCTATTTGTACCTCTTTTATATGGCTCACAAGCCAAAACTGGACAAGTTGGTGGCTGATCACCAAGTCTGAGTTGCAGTCATTCTTAGGGCAAGGGGCGGGGCTGGGGGGCCTTTTGCAATGGAAGCCTATCAGCAGCCTTCTTGTTGGTTGGCTGGTGCCCTCCAATGGCTACCAAGTTTTCAGCCTGCACAATTACCAGCTGTGCCTGCAAAGGCAGAGGAGAGGTGGGATGAGCCGTAGTGGGGTGGTGGTTAAAATGTAGTATTGCAGGTTAACTCTGCCAATTGCCAGCGGTTTGCTCCTGACTGGCTCAAGGTTGACTCAGCCTTCCATCCATCCGAAGTCAGTAAATTGAAGACCCAGATTGTTGGAGGCAGTATGCTAATTCTGTAAACTGCTTAGAGAGGCTGTAAGCACTGTGAAGTACAGGTAGTCCTCAACCTACAACAGTTCTTTTAGTGACCATTCAAATTTACTAAAAAAAGTGACTTCCCCATGATCACATGATCAAAATTCAGATACTTGGTAATTGACTCATATTTATGACTGTAGCGATGCCCTGGGATGTCATGTGATCCTCTTTTGCGATCTTCTGACAAGCAAAGTCAATGGGGAAACCAGGTTCGCCTAACAACAGTTGGACAAATTTTAAAGCTATAGTGATTCACTTATCAACTGTGGCAAGAAAGATCGCAAAATGGGGCAAACTTACTTAACAAATGCTTCACTTAGCAACGGAAATTTTGGACTCAATTGTAATGCTGACCCCTTACTTTATGTGAAGATGTGCTACCTGGGTAAGAATCTGGGCTGAACGTGCACAATATATTTAATCTGTGCTGAAAATTTTAAAAGTTCACACAATACGGTGAATACACAAAAATGATGGAGTTTGGCACTGCAAAGTAGACCATATAGGTATAATTTAAAAAAGAGAGATTCATCTGCTGATACTGTATATCAGTGTTTCTCAACCTTGGTGACTTTAAGTCCTGTGGACTTCAACTCCCAGAATCCCCCTGGGGGTTGAAGTTCACAGGACTTAAAGTCACCAAGGTTGAGAAACACTGCTGTATATACTGTGGGAAATAGGTTTCTTTTTCCAGAAATAAAACAACCCAGCCCAAACATATTCTAGCAAAATTTCTTTTTTCCTGTCATGTCCCCAGGATAGTCCCTTTATCTCATCCCCAGTGCTTAAGGGAAACCTAAGGAGTCCTGAGCTGGACCAGACTGTAAGAAGCATTTGTCTCCTGATTCACACACCATTCAAGTGTCTTCAAAGTGTCTAAAATCCATGGGGCTCAGTGAGCCACTCCCAAGCATGGAAGGCTGATGACTGCAGTGACTGGCAACAGAAGCACAACAAATGGGGCCGGAATTGGCAACCAGATGAGCACATTTCATGCTAGCTTAGTTTCCTGCTCTTCAAGGGAGAGAAAATTTTATTTTTCTCACAGCTGGAAAACCCTCTGCCTCGTTTTTCAAAACCCTATTTATAAAGTTATTCTAGGACCAGCCAAAGATTGATTCGAACATAGTTTCCCCTTACCCAATTTTTCCTTTATTAACAATCTCTGTTATATAATGCTATTCTTTGTAATCTGTGAAAACTGCACAGGAAAGATCGAGGCATTTAAGCAATCCTTACGCACAGCTCAGTGGGTGCCCACAACCATAAAAGGTAAAGGTTCCTCCGCACATGCGTGCTAGTCATTCCCAACTCTAGGGGGCGGTGCTCATCTCCGTTTCAAAGCCGAAGAGCCAGCACTGTCCAAAGACGTCTACGTGGTCATGTGGCTGGCATGACTTAACGCCAAAGGTGCATGGAACGCTGTTACCTTCCCACCAAATGTGGTTCCTATTTTTCTACTTGCATTTTTACATGCTTTCTAACTGCTAGGTTGGCAGAAGCAGGGACAAGTAAATGAAGCTCACTCCATTACGCGGCCCTAGAGATCAATCTAATGCCAAACTCAAGGCCCACAGGCCAGATCCAGTCCATGGGGTGCTTAGATTTGGCCCATGGAGGTCTCTTGGAAACAGCAAAAGACAGGCCCACAGTCCCTCTGCCAGCAAAAATTGACCTCTGGAAGCTCTCAGATCTCATTTTCACTGGCCGAAGGCTGCAGGAAGAAAAAATAAGGAAAGGAACATATAGCTCTGAAACCAGAAATATTTCTGTTGGGTATCATACCAGAAAAATATAATAAAGGGACTATGTATCTAATACTACATGTGTTAACAGTGGCTAGAATTGTATTTGCACATCATTGGAAAGGTGTGGAGATCCCTACAGATGAGAAGATAATTTTAAAAAGTATTAGAATGTGCAGAAATGGATAGATTAACACTTGAAATTAAAGAGAAGGATGATACGGAATATTCTGATACATGGGATTTATTATATGTTTATTATTAATATGATTTAGTATTAATAATTAAGTATTAATATGTTGAGAAAATACTGTTATATCACAATACAATAACTGCATTATTATTATTGCTCTAACAAGACAACACAATGTTTATATATACATTGAAACTGTTGCTCTTTATTTATATAGTAAAAATAAAAAAAAATAAAAAAATAAGGAAAGAGGGGAAGGAAGGAGAACTAAGAGGGAAGAAAAAAGAAGAAAGGAAGATTATGAGTGAGTGAGGGTCTGAGGGAAGTCCTGCCTTAGCACTTGGCCACCACAGGTGCCCCTCGACACGAGTGACATTGAGCTGGCCACGCACACCCACCCAGGTCCCCTCCAAGGTCAAACACAACCCTGATGCAGCCCTCAATGAAATCGAGCTTGACATCCTGTCCTAATGCATCCAATAACTGCTAGCAGGGCTCCAGAACTGTGATAGCAAACCTATGGCATGCATGCCCAAAGTGGCACGTGAAGCCATGTCACCCGGCACGGGCTTGTCTTCTGGGTTTCTGGCACACATGCGTGCGCGATGATCACCTGTCCTTCGCACGTGCACCAGTGCCGAAAATGGATGTGCGTATGTGCGTCGGCCTGCTGACTGTTCAACTTTCCAGAGCACAATCCCGTTGCGTGCGCGGCAGTACCAGAAACCAGCCTGCACATGCGCGCCGGCCGGCTCATCATCGGGTGCACATGCACACTAGAACCTGGAAGTGCAGCTTTCCCAGAGCGCAGCCCCAACGAGCGCGCATACACACTCATGTTTCCGTGTGACCTTTTCGGCACTCAGTGCTAAAAAGGTTCACCATCACTGCTCTAGAAGGTCTTCACAAGGTAATTTCTGCGTATTGGAGGAAATACTAGTCCTCATTTAATGATCATAACTATGACCACCAACTTGGTCACTGAATGAAATGGTTGGCAAGTGAAACCCTGAATTTGTTTACGACCATCAGTTTTCAGACTGCCAAGGTTGTAAATGTGAAGATTGGTCGTAACTTTTTCATCATTGCCGTAACTGTGAATGGTTGCTAAATGAGGCAGTCACTAAATGAGGATTGCCAGGAACCTCCAAGAAGTCAGTCTGTTCCAGGAAGAAACGTCGGTTACAAGATCCAAAGTAAGTACTGCAGACTTCATTCCCACCAAGAGTGAAAATCTGATTCTCTGGAGCAGTGTTTCTCAACCTTGACAACTTGAAGATGTCTGGACTTCAACTCCCAGAATTCCCCAGCCAGCATTCGCTGGCTGGGGAATTCTGGGAGTTAAAGTCCAGACATCTTCAAGTTGCCAAGGTTGAGAAACACTGCTCTGGAGAGTGGCTGGTTTTATTGGCGGGAACAATCCTGATAAGAAACTATGGGCCAATCAGAACAAGAAGCTTTCAACAGTCATGACCATAAAAAACACAGACCAGCAAAACCAGGAGATTTCAGACAGGTAGGTTAAAAGAGATCACGAAAGAGGCAATAAAGAATTAAACATTTAAAGACTGATTCCTAAAACGAAGCAGAAGAAAGTGAACCAGACACATAGCAAAACCCTGCAAAGGACAGCATCTCCCTCCCTGCTCTTTTTCACCCATATACCCTTTAAAAAAAGACTCTGACCTTTCTGTTCTGGGTGGTTTATGAGAAGATTCTGGAGGAGGAAGGCCGATTTCACCTTCAGTTTCTGTACATTACTCTGCATGGCCCTCATGAGTACAGAGAAGCCATCAAGGCGTAAGAATTGCTGTAGGCCAGCTTCTTGGGCTCTTACTAAGCCTGGTAAGCAGAAGGAAATAGGAAGAAGGATGAGAATGAGCAAATGCAGACTGGACAATCAGTTGACTGAACAATGAAGGACCAAGATGTTCCAACCCAGTTCAACATTCACATCCCATCCACTTAGCGTATTGTTCGGACTATAATACGCACCGGTGTATAAGATGCACCAACATTTCCACGCTCTTTTAGGGGAGGAAGGTGCGTCTTATACTCTGAAAAATATGGTATTTCATCCCCTGATAGTATAACCAAGAACAAGAATGCCATTACCCACGAATCAGGCTCTATAATTACATCTTACAACATTCATTAAATGCCAGAACAGCCATGACACTATATAATTATCCGAAACCCTGGTATTCACTCCTGCTCACCTATCACCTTCAGGCCATACTTTCCTGCAATCAATTTTAACATTAGAATTAACTCTCTAACATAAATTCCACTGTCGAGAGCATGATTTTCAAATGACAAATTTGGCTCCCTGAGATGTACATTCCACGTTTGCTCCAGGCATCTAATAATGGTTTGTTTCAAGAAAACCCCAATAGGCCAGGGTATCTTAGTATCTCAGCATCCTGTGCTTCTGTTCAGGCACCTTTACCTCCAGATGATGTTTTGAACTATAACTCCACAGCTCCTTTTGGTTATTATGATGGTTAGAACGCACAGGAGTGATAATGCAAAATGCCGTAATGTTTGCCACACTCATGTGTACAATGACCCCAGACTCATTAACATCCCAAGTGCTAAAAGTGATAATAGGTAAAAGTAAAGGTTCCCCTCGCACATATGTAATTAGTCGTTCCCAACTCTAGGGACGGTGCTCATCTCTGTTTCAAAGCTGAAGAGCCAGCTTTGTCCGAGGACGTCTCCGTGGTCCTGTGGCCAGCATGACTAAACACCGATGGTGCATGGAACACCGTTACATTCCCATCAAAGGTGGTTTCTATTTTTCTACTTAAATTTTTTATGTGTTTTCGAACTGTTAGGTTGGCAGAAGCGGGGACAACTAATGGGAGCTCACTAAGTTATGCAGTGCTAGGGATTCAAACCACTGATCTTCGGATCAACAAGCTCAGCATCTTAGCCACTGAGCCACCCCATCCCTAAAAGTGATAATAATCCTAATCATATTTTAAAATGTTGAAACAACTGGATGGTTGCCTTACTGATCAAGAGAGTGGTGCTATGGAAGCACTAAATCTTCCTCCTTCTTTTCCCTATCATAAATGGTTCCATTACTTGCTTGCTTGGCATTTACACATGCATACATACATACATACATACATACATACATACATACATACATACATACATACTTCATATTTCTTAACCATCCACCTCTCTATTTTACTGTTGTCTAAGTAAATAAAAACACTAGATTTCTTTCTTCCCCTGTTGCATAGCCAACAGTTATGTTGGGATATATACTGGGATAAGCCTTCTATAACACTTTCAGCTTGGCTCTCCGTTCACTAAGCAGCCACCGTTTCCCACTCACAAGAAATGGCAAAGAGCGCCTTGATCCGAACAGCCTCGCTGGGGTCATGATCCAGCAGCCGTAGCAGCTTCCTCATGCAGCCCAGCGCCAGGGCCTGCTCTTGAACCATGGGCACATTCTGGGCACAGGTGCCCACCAGATGGGCAGCTCGCCATCGCAGTTCCTGCTCTTCATGTTCCAGGTATCGGTGGGCCAACAGCCGCATGCCTTCCAGTTTGCAGAAATCTGTAAGATGATTGAAAGCAGTACAGGTAGTCCTTGACTTACAACCAATCACCCAGCAATAGTTCAAACTTACGATGGACCACCAAAATGCATTTAATGACCTGGATACAAAGTTCTGAAAAACACCCCCACCCACCGACAGTCACATGATCACAATTTGGTGCTCAGCAACGAGACTGCATTTATGGCCATTTGCAGCAGATGAAGTTCATATGTCCACAATTTGCATTGCTTTTTGCCAGAAATTGCTGTTTTCTTCCAGCCAAAAAAAAATAAAGCCATTGCAGACAATGGGTTTGTTTAATAACCTCATATTTGCTGAACAGCCATAGTGATTCACTTAACTACTGATACACAAAACGTTGTAAAATCAGCTCAGTCACTTAAAGACAAACATGATTCCGGGCCTTATTAGAGTTATTACTTGAGACCTGCCTATAACCAAAAGAAGACTGGCAGAATACTAGCTAACTTCTTCTGGCCTTACTCACTCCGTTATAGCTCAAAGAGTAAGGATACAACTGCTTTCTCTACTTGAATGACCTCCAGATATGTGGACTCCAACTCCTAGAAATATGTCTATGCTGAGAATTGTGGGAATCTGTAGTTTTGGGATTCTCCAGTGATCTCCATAAAATATTTTGCATATTAAGGATTATACATGCCAGTCAATGAACTGCACCCATTGCACTTCCCATCCCAAAGTCCTTTGAAGTCCACTCAGATTATATTGCCTCAAATTGCCCAATTGCAAAGTGCAATTTCTTAGAAATAAAACAAAAACAGGTGTTTGATTTGATTTTATATATGTAAAACCCATGAAAAATCCATCCCTTTAAAAATTCCTTTCCCAAATAGGTCTTCTCAATTTGCATTAGCAGTATGGTCATAATCCCTGTAGCCATAAAATCAGTGTACGGGCTGGCTTTCAAAAAAGTTATTTCCTTCTGACTCAAGCCTTGTTACAGTTTCTTTGGGAGGTGCTGATGAAAGCTTTCTTTTTCTTGGACAAGTGACCATATGGTGGGGAAGGGGAAGGCAAGAATTTTATTCAGCTCAACAGGTTTGTCTTTTTGATTCCTTATCTTGCAATGGTTTGGTCGCAATCATTATTTTAAGTCAATGTTTCCCAAACTTTTAAGAAGACATGTGGATTTCAGATCTTAGAATTCGTCAGCCAGAGGTGCTGGCTGAGGGAATTCTGGTAGTCCACATGACTTAAAAGTTGCTGAAGTTGGGAAACCTTGTGCTATAAATGAACTTCCTTTTAGAAAGATATATGCTTCTTTCGCTTGAAATATGAGTTGGAATCGGGAAAATAATACTGCAGTATGGACCTCTTATACTCAAAACAACAATTTTTCACGTACACAGATGAGATTGCTTTTGTACCTGCAGCATTATCCAAGTTTTCACACAACTCTGCCAGCACATTGAGGGCATTTTCCCTTTGGTCAAGATCTGAATGTGTTTCCTCTGAACTTTCCCCACGTTCTGCTCCTGGGCTTAACTCTTCCAAAATACGCAGACATTCCTTCATTTGCTCCACTTCATCCATCTGCCCACGAAATGCCTCCACCATGGCTTCCTGCAACCACTGTCTCCTCTGGGAAATTGGCCATTAGATGGAGTGGAGAGAAGAAGAGGAATGAGAATTGGTAAATAATCTTCCCTTTTCGTGCTTGGGATGCCTTAAATGCCATGTTTGAGCTTATTTTTTCTCTCTCAGAGCAACATGCCGTGTGAAGATGGTGGCACGAACAGTTGTCCCAAAGGCAATATAACAATACAATCACCAGTGAGTAACTAAGTAAATTACAAACACACACAAACTGGTACAACTAAATAAGAACCAGGGGGAAAAAAATCAACAATAATCCTATTAACTAAATTGATTTGAGAGAGACAGACAGATTCAATATTATCATGTCTAGGGATAGATTAAACCCAGGTTTTCCTAGGAAGTCTCAGTACTTAATTTAGGATGATAACATCTCATTTCCTTGCTGAAGGCATCAGAAGTGTTTAAATGCTTAGCTTTCACCTTTCCCACAATGAATGCTATTAAAAGTAATTCTGCCATTAATGCATAGGAAAGGTTTGTTAAAGATGCATACTTTAATTTTTTCTTTCTTCTTGCACATAATACAGTGTGATAATTAACATTACCATAATTATCTCTATATCAGTGTTTCCCAATCTTAGTCATTTTAAGATGTGTGGATTTCAACTACCAGAGGAGGTATTCTGGGAGTTGAAGTCCACACATCTTAAAATGGCTAAGGATGGGAAACACTTTCTAGATTTAAAGGTAATCTTTCCTCCAGGAACTATACATTCTCTCTTCTATTTCCCCCGCAAAACTGAAACAAACCCATTCTGCTAACTACCCCAAGCAAGCTTCCCTGTCTAAGGACAGACTTAAATCCATGTATCCATTATCCTTGTCCAACTTCCTGCTAGAAAATTTAGGGCCTCTTTTTCACATCCTACTTCCTTCCTGGATAGTCAGGAATCCCTTATGTCTAAACGTTGGACTCGATTCCCTCTCCTGAGGAGCCCAGCTGCACACCTCATCAGACATAGGTGCCGTCTGACCAGGTTCGGTGTTGCCCGCCATGACTGCCATCTGCAGCAGCCCCTGCAAATTGCGGGGATGCTCGCGCGGTGGCTGGTTCCCATCTGTACCCCCTTCAGCCATGGTTGGGGAATGAGGACGCAAGTCACCAACGTGGAGGCAAATCACCAACACTGTAAAGGAACTGTAAAGAAACAGAGAGAAAGAAGAATAAGTGGAAGAGAAAAAAAACATGGGGAGCCTAACCACAGGATCAGGCACATCTTTGCTCCAGTCCTTATTTTTCAGAAATACCACTGCTCTCTTTATAAGCGAAACCTTCACCCAAGTATTGCAATACAAGTGTTCTTCACCATGTAAGCTTGCCAGTCTTAAATTATCCTTAGAGACAGAAGACTTAATTCCATTCCTACTTCTCCCACACAGCAATCCAAGTTGTCTGCTAGGGAAGAGATTCCCAACCTTGGCAACTTTAATGAGAGAAATGACACATGGACTTCAACTCCCAGAATTCCCCAGACAGCATGGCTGGCTGGGGAATTCGGTTCCACCACAAAACTGCGGTAGACTAAAGCGCGCTCGACGAAAGCGCGTACCTGACGTCATCACAGCGCGACGAAAACATCACGCTGTGAGCGGTAAAGTTAAAATTAACGCGAAAACCTTACCCTAACCCCCCCAAACCTAACCCTAAACCTAACCCTTAACCTAACCCTAAACCTAACCCTTAACCTAACGCTAACCCTTAACCTAACCCTAAACCTAACCCTAACCCTTAACCTAACCCTAACCCTTACCTTTACGTGAATCGGCTTGCTTTAAAAGCGCTTTTTAAAGCACCCTTTTTTCTCCGCGGTCATATTTGTCGCGCTGCTGATGACGTCAGGTACACGCTTTAATCGGGCGCGCTTTAGTGGACCGCGGTTTTGTCGTCCCACGGGGGAATTCTGCAAGTTGAAGTCCATGCACCTTAAAGCTGCCAAGATTGGGAACCGTTGTGTTAGGGACTTAAAAAAGCCACAACCATAACCACAAAATCAAAACCCCATCTCTTTTTATGTGTGGTGTGTGACGCACCATCTTGACTTTTTTGACCTGAAGACAAACTTGTAAACAATCACATAGTACACCTCCTAGCATTTACTTCATGGCCACTGAGCATTAATCAATGGAGTCATTAATCGACTATTAACACAAAAGTGATCATAGAAATCCAATTTCCTGCTCAATGCAGGAATCCAAATTAAATAATCCCAAAGATTATTGGGATTATATAAAGATTCAGGAAAAGGAAGCCACCATTTACTCTGAATAGGTAGCAACTCTATTTTGTGGCTGGATTATTGAGTCAGAAGCTACATATTTCTAACTACCAAGATACTCTAAAAGACTGTCTTCTAATTTTCTACTGCTTAGAGAATCGTAACCAGCTTTTGCCCACTAGATGTCAGTTGTGGAGGCTTAGCTAAAGATTTTTAGGATTTCTTTCATGGGAAAAGGGATGAGAACAGGATGCTGTCCATAAACAAAAACAACACTTTGGGAGATATGAGAATAGGAAGAATAAGAATAGAATACAGATGAGAAATCCTGTTCTGGAAAACCTGCACCCCACAAATTCCACCCTAGTATACGTATACAACCAGTGAAGAATTCAGATCATTTATGCTACCAATTTATTCATTTTTTATCCTGCTTTTCTTTTAAAAATAATTCAAGGTGGTGAACATGTCTAATCCTCCTCCTTCTTCCTATTTTCTCTACAACAACATTGTGAGGAAGGTTAAGCTGGCCCAAAGTCACCAGACAGCTTTTCTGCCTAAGGCAGGACTAGAACTCACTATTTCTTGGTTACTAGCCTGGTGCCTTAACCAAACTGNTTCAGAGTATAAGACACACCTTAGTTTTTGGGGAGGAAAATAAGAAGAAAAAATTCTGCCTCTACCAGTATCCATGGTATTCAACTGACACATGGCAACAAGAACAGCCAATGAATAGGCATAGCAACTAAATCAGCCAATGAGAGCTATTTGGACAAATTTGCTGTATGGAGACAGGAAGGAGCCTGGCTTAGCCGAGAACTGAAAGTGAAACTGCTTATGTTTTGCTTGTATTTACTGCTATCTTGGAAAACCTGCTTTTGGTAAAGTATTGTACATTATTATTATTATTTTGAATCCTGCTGAATCAGTTACTGTGCTTTTTGAATGTGTTTGCTACCACAAACTCTGGCCAGCCAGGTCAGCTTCAGCACTTATCGCAGCCTGATTCAGCACAGCTGAATCGGAATACTGGCATACCCTCAATCAGCTGTTCCAGACTGCAGGGATTCCCCAGACCATTGCTGCCTCCATGCCTTGCGTTTTTGGCCTCTGGAGGAGGAGGGTGGGGCTACATTTGGTGTATAAGATGCACCCAAATTTCCACTCTCTTTTTTGGGGGGGAAAGGTGCGTCTTTGAAAAATATGATAAATTTCCATTTTGTTGAGCCGCAGTGGCACAGTGGTTGGAATGCAGCACTGCAGTCTATTTCTGCTGATCATTGGCTGCCTGCAATTTGGCAATTTGAATTTCAGCAGGCTCAAGGTTGACTCAGCCTTCCATCCTTCCAAGGTCAGTAAAATGAAGACCCAGATTGTTGGGGTCAATATGCTGACTCTGTAAACTGCTTAGAGAGGGCTGTAAAGCACTATGAAGCAGCATATAAGTCTATTGCTTTTGCTATTCTTCTTCTTCTTCCTCAGCTTGGTAATTCTTGATCCTTGTCATATCATATTACTTTGCCAACATAAGTTAGAATATCACACAACGACCCGTAACCTAAGTGTTATGGTTGTTTCAACCAGAGATTTATTTGTTGTTCCAAATAAAAGCATTTGTTAAGCATCTATGGTCTCTACTGAGGCATTCGCCATTTTCTATTCTATTCTGGTACTCATAAAGCTCAGAATAGTTTCCTGCTCTACTTTCTGGCAATATCTATGGCAAATGATATACGGCAAAACAAAAACTTCCCACCACTGTGTGGGATTGAACTTGAACTTTCCAATATTTGGTCAGACTTGAGATGTTTCTTCCTACAATGATGTTCCAAGTATATTCTCTGCTGCTTCATCTCCTTGAATGCTCTAGTGCAATTTGATCCGTGACTCGACAAAAGCGCGAACGTCATAAGCGCGCCGACAAAACCGCGGTCCACTAAAGCGCGCCCGATTAAAGCGCATACCTGACGTCATCAGCAGCGCGACAAATACG